CCTTTGTGTATGCTTCCATGCTTAGACCATTTAGATGCCATCTAAGTGTGTCTTTGGCCTTATTTTGGTCTGCCTCAGGGCTATTTTGAGTCCCTTTGGCCCTTTGAGGCTTGGTTGACATGGTCATGGCTTGAGCCCCTTGGCTAGCTTTGAGTTTTAGACCTTGTTGCATGCCTTATTTCCATGGTTTGGTTGGTTTGGCACCATCCTTAACATGATTTCAGAGTTTATCAATGCTTGCCATATGTCCATGTTCATCCCTTTTAAGTGTACTTAAAGTTGCTTCTTTATTCTTAAGTATTGGACCATGTATGCATGCATGTTTGTATGTAAATTTGCCTTCATGTTCTTAGCATTTTGGCCACTAATTTGGGCTTATTTGAGAGCTGCCCATATTAGTTTAAGACCATCCCCGCATGTTGTTGCATGCTTGCCTAGTATGTTGTCACATACTTGTTGCATGTTTAGTGAATTACATGTTGTAGCATGCTAGTTCAATTGTGCCTCGTTGTGTACTTAATCCATAACATGCTGTTGCATGCTTAGGTTGTAATGCATTTGGCATGCATTCTCTCTTTTAGTCACTTAACATGTTATTACATGTTTGTATGTTGTCATATGCTTGCATGTTTGCATGCTTGTTCACATTTTCATGGTGCATACTTAGCTTCCATGCCTAGGTTGCATTACATTGAGCATGCATGCCTTGCCTCTTGATCGAGCATGATAGAGGTTGGGTCCCTCATGCGTTTCTATGCATTTCATTTGACATCAAATGCACAACTTGACACCTTGGACCATCATGCATTGAAATGCGTGATTGGTGGCCCGAAGGTCGAGAGCCAAACTCCCTTAAGTTCATGACATGATAGGGAGGTTGGTTGTGCAAACATTTGCTTTGAAATGCATTGCCATGTCTTGTTTTCCCTCTACTGCTGCAAAAAACAGGATTCTGCAGGTATATATTGCCGACCGACCACATTGAGTGCCGGCCGACCACAAATCTCTGGCCGAGAGCTACATTTATGGTCGATGACCACTTTTCCATGGCCGGTGACCATTCCTTTTGGCCGATGGCATCCCACAACCCTCAGGGAGTATTTCAGAAGCATCCTTGGGATTTGTGCAGTCTCTAGAGAAGAAAAACAGTGCAAACAGAGGCAGCAAAAGTATGACGATGGATTTCCAAGCGGAATCGAGCACGCGTGCATTCATCCCTCTTCCCGAGGCCTCTTTACTGCTTTTCTTAGTTTAATTGATTCGTTAGTTAGTTAAGTGTTGTAAATATTTAATTAGCTTGTAGGTTAATTAATTTGTATTATTCTTTCGGTCCCTCCGAGAGAGGGCACAATTGTGTAATAAGCGTGTGTGTATGTGATGCATGTCTTCCAACCACCATTTCTTTCTCCCTTTTACTTAACCGCTTATGATGGTTAGTTTTAGGGCACATTTCAACTAGCATCCTTATGCTATGCATATTTGCATCATTCATCTGTATTGCATGCACCGGGCTCGGTGCATCATACTAACTACATAGTATTTCAAATTTCAAGTTGAATACGTGTATCGAGTTGTTGCATTTCACATGCCATCCTTAGATTAGCCAAGCCTATGCTAGTTGCATTTTGTATGCAATGCATTACCCATCTCAACATGGACTTGGATCATACATTTGATTACCAACATGTTCCTTGTTTTGGCTCGGAGTACACTGTGAGTATTTATGCTTAGCATCTTGCATGTATGTAAGTGTTAACATGACAGCATGCTTACCATGAGGCTATGTGCTTATATGATATAATTGCTTGAATGCTTGTGGGTGAAGGTTGGATTGCTTGAATTGGGATAATTCATTGAAATCCGTGTTTTAGCCTACTTACGAGTAGCAAACTTCAAATCATGTTCCAAACAAACGGATATGCGATGCTTTGTTCCAAATTAGGCGATCTAGTCTATACTTGTGTGTTGTGCGCATCACATAGTAAATTCTAGCTAATTAACTGGAATAAGAACACATATGTTTTCAAAACAAAATATCATGCTTAGTACAGGCCGATCTTCGGATCGGGCGAGTGGGGGTGCTCATAGATGACCTTCCCCAATCATACCCAAGTTCCCGAGCCGAGGCAACTTTGGTGATGACGGACATGTGGCCTTAGGCAACAAGTCAGGGTTTCGTAAATTTCCCAGAAATAAAACATTTAGGTGGCAACTCTGTATCTGGCAAAGCAGTCCATGTTTGGCACTTCTTTCTAAAAATTGGTTTTTCAAAACAATTTGCCGGATTTAGACTCTTTGGTGATTTGTCATCTCACATCGCACATTGTGAGATCAGATTAAGAACCGTGACAATTTGAGTCTGAACTGTAGTGAGCCCAAATGAACAAAACGGGGGATTCCCTCCCGGGACGTTCGGGGATGTCTACAACACCACGTTTCAATTTGGTTGTAAAATGGATGATGATTTTACTGTGCCATGAATGATTTTATCTGAAATTCCTCTGAATGAACCGTACATACAACAATCGTGCGTTTACGGAATAACAGAACAGATTACGATTCAGGAAAAACAATTTGTATGCTAACGGAATAGTTTAAACTAATTAAGTCTTAAACAAAACAAATCACACTATGAGTTTAAACTATGAGTTAAACAAATGAATTTAAACAAATTAAATCAAGAATCAGCTAAATCAAATTATGCATTCACACAATAAAACAAAAATAGAATAAACAAAATTCCTTTCCTTTTCTTTTCTCATTTTTCATTTTATATTTTTTCGCTCACTATCTTTCTCTTTTTATATTTTGTTTTGTTACTTATTTTTCCTTCATTGTTTTTTCTTTTTCTCTTTTTTTCCATTTCTTCTCTGTTTTTTTCCTGTTTGCATTTTATTATTTTTTCAGATTAAAGCTTCATAATACAAGAAATAAAAAGAACAAAAACTGATTGAATTCACACTGAGGACTGGTTGGGCCTCGATGAAGCACGACCGTGCTTCAAAACAGCCGACTAGGCCTCGATAGCGGGACAGGGGCAAATCGGTCAATCCACGAGCGACGTTTGTTTTAAACAAACTCAAACCTCATTTTCTCACACCTTCTCATCCGAAACTCCCTCTCATCTCTCTCTAACCTTCCCCTCTCTCTAGATTTCCCCTTTCCTTGAGTTACCCAACAATCCTCACAAAATTTTCCTTAAAACCATTTTAATCCTCTATATTTTGAATCGAACAAAACTTGATTTGGTGGAGTTTTGAGTTTTTCTCTTGATTCCGCTCATATTTGCCCACATTTTTCTTGTTTCCCCCTTTGATTTTCCACCCCTCTTTACTTTCTGCTGGGATTTTGGGGTTTTTACTCATTTTCACTCATCCCTTCACATTTTCTTCACTATTTCCACTTTCTCTCTATGGCTAGTGACGAAGTTCCCCTCCCGGACCCTACCATTGGTATTGGGGCCGTCTTAGGTGTAGATATGGAGGCCGAGGATGCTCCCACATTGCCTCTCCTTGTCGATAGGCCATTTGATGCGGCTACCTGCCGACCATGTACACATGCTCCGTCCCCAGGCGGTATTTTGAGATTGAAGGGCCTCATCCCGGGATAGATGAGGACATCCTGCTGCGAGAGCCCGTGGAACACTTGTCCGCCGATGCCACCATGGTAAGCAACTTTCCTTTGTTTTGTACATATGTTGAATCTCATAAACAAACCACTCATTAATGCTACATACACTCCCCATTTATAGGTGATAGATAGGAGGATTGACAGCTTAGAATCCATATCCGACCCCCGGTGCTGGTATGAGAGGCTTTTTGCAGAGGTTCGTACATTAGTTGATGTTGCCGGCTTTGGGCCCTTCTGTTCAGGGCTCACATAGATGAGGGCTGAGTCATTGCTCTACGGGGCCTTGGTAAAGAGATGGTAGGACACCACTGACCCCTTCCACTTCTCGTCGATTGGGGAGCCGACCCTGACTCTATACGATTTCTTGATGCTCACTAGCCTATGGGTCAGGATTGGCAGCCCGATCCCATGTGATCTTGATACGACGCAGTGGAGAGTCGCACATCGTCAGTTTCTCAGGGCGATCCTGGACACTACTAGTCATAGAATGGTGAGGTATAGTTGGTTCTTTGATCGCTTTTCCGATTCTCAGCCCGCTACTCCAAATAAGGTCACCCAGTACACCCGCGGCTTCCTTATGTATCTCCTTAGTATTGCCATGTTTGCGAACAGGGAAAATACCGTGGGGTTATATCTTCTGGGGGCACTGGTGCACCTACCACAGGTGACATAGTATGATTGGGGTGGCACTAGCCTGGCCACCTTGTACTGCTATATGAGCTCCGTATCCTGCTGCAAGATGGATTCACTGGGTGGCTACTGGAGAGTTTGGGAGGTATGCCTCACACTTACTTTTCTATGTATTTTGTTCAATTTTGCATTTCGTGCTCATCTTTACTTTGCATTTCCTATTTATCTGCTCATTTACTTCATCCATCTTTTTCTATTTATAGCTATGGGCTTACACATATTTCACTTCTTTAGCTCTGGTCCCGGTGAGGCCGATTGAGTTGTCAGTACCCTGCTCTCGGTACTACAACTTCTGATTCGAGCGGCGCCGCTGCGTAGACCGAGACTTCCCCTACTTACGCCGTTTCTTTGACACCATCACAGCGGATTAGGTAACAAAATACTAGTCTTTACATTTCTGTATTACTATTTCCATACTGTTGTTATTCTCATACTGGACTATTTCCATACTGCACTGTTTCCGCACTGCACAGCTACTCTCATACTGTTGCTTCTATACTGTTGTTTCCATACTGTGTTTCCATACTACTTAGATCCTTGACAACTGACATTTGCTTCCACAAGTTAACTGGCACCCTTGGGCGGGTATTACTTAGGTAGCGAGGACGACCTATGTTGTTGCATGGCACGCGTCTACCATGCAAATTCTTTTTGAGGGCCCCTTTGGCCGACTTTATTACCTGGGGGAGAGGTTCATCTGCTAGACACAAGGGGTAGTGGATCTGGACATTCCACATCCTTCTCTTCCTAGTATAAGGGTAGTGGATGATCTTCACGACGGTCTTTAGATCAACTTCCTGATGTTGGGAGAGGATGGTGACCGACATCATGATCCTGGCAACTTCACCACTTTCTTGCAGACTTGGGTGATGGCGCCTCTTACCCATGGTGTGGCTCGCGCTATTCCAGAGGTTGCTACTACTGTGACTGCTGGAGGAATTCTTGCTGCAGCCCCCATTCCTGGGCTTCTGGTGATTCCTACAGAGGTCGTATACATGCGGCCAGACGGGGTAATTGAGCAGATACCCCTTGAGTACATTGAGAAGACGGATCGCAGATTGGTGATTGCTCCCGGCATTGAGCAGGTACACATTTATTTCTATTTTTTCCCACTACACTACTTTATGTCTTCACTGTACTCTCTTGCTTTGTTCCACTACGCTCAAATTTGTTCTTCCTTTTACAAGTACCCAGGGCATATGTTGATGACCTCTTCCGAACGATTGACCGCCTGCTTCTGATGGTGTGGAGAAGACAGACTGCTCTGGCCACTCATGGGATTGAGGTATAATTTTTCTCCTAGTTTACAATCATGACAGTCTTGCTTATAACTTTGTTGATTTCTTTTGATATCAGTACTCTCTCTCTCTCTCTCTTTTCAGCTTGAGCCAGTACCAGTTGCACTTGTAGGACCTCCTCTAGCTAGTAGATGGAGACGGTGTCCAATAAGGGACAGAAGAGGAGCTGGCCGAGGAAGAGGCAGAGTGAGGCAGCACTCACCTCCCGAGGAGTCCTTTGAGGAGTACACAAATTTTAAGGCAAAGGGGGAGGCAGTTGATATACAATCTAGAAGCCCCAATGATGACAGCAATGCACCTTCTTCACAGTCAAAGAGGAAAAAAGCGAGGATGGGTTGCTGATGATGATGATGATGATTTTTTTCTTTTGTTTTTGTTTTGATTTGTAGTTAAAGACTAGCTTTAGACAGACCCTTTTGTTTTTGAAGGATTTTCTTTTGTTTGCTGCTTTGTAAAACAATGATCGAGGTTAGACCCGTTAGTTTATAAAAGACAAGTTTTGAATGATCTCCTTGCACAATATGTGATGAATGGCATGTGATGAATGGAGTAACCTGTGCATGGTAACTTCGCATAAGACTTAAACCAACGAATATCTACTCTTGCATTCATTCTTGAATCTAATAACAACCCACTACCAGAAAAAATGTAAAACACACCTCGATAACAAGAAAAACAAAATGAAAACAACTCGAAAATACTAAAAAACATTTGGTACAAACAAAACAAGACTCAAAACATAGCCGCGGTACACCAGGACAAAGGCCAGCTTTTTCAGCAACTGCATTGATCTAAGCCACTATTTAGACTCGGCTGGGCTTCACTGAGGCATGGCCGAGCCTAAATATAAGGTCGGTCAGTACTGCCCAGCTGTCATGCATTGCTTCTTCTCAACCTTTATAAATGGTGCTCCTACGCTGTTTTTCTGGCAGATTAGCAAGTCTTTGGTATTTTGCTCTCAAGATGGAGACACTGTGCAACAATAGGCTTCGAGACTAGGTAATCACTTTGGACGGCTTGGAAAAGCTGAACTTTCGCAATTTTGGCCTAAATGCCCTTTTTCATTTGATCCGCACTTCTCTTTGCTTTCCCTTCCTCCATGCCGCTATTCAATGTTGGAACCCAATCACTCATGTGTTTCACTTTGGATCATAGGAGATGTGCCCAACAATCGAAGAATTTCAAGCATTGATAGAGTCCCAACACAACAAAGAAATCACGTTGCAGCCCGGTTTTGGCTATGCCCAAGCTTTGGGACAGATGTGTAGGCTAACATTACATGAGGCTCGGTCTTTGGCACATGACGGGGAGCTAGACATTTCCGGTTTAGTTCATCAATTTTCCGTTATTGGAGACAAGAGTGACCTTTTTTGGCGAGGTCACCGGCAACATGCTCTCCGTTTATGCCTTCTTGCACAATTCCTCCTTGGCCCTAGTTTTGGCGGAGCTAGCATCCGGTTGATTGAAGTGGCCCAATGTTTGAAAGAGGGTAAGAGTTGCATGGGTTTGGTGCTAGCCGAAACCTCGATGGGTTTAGATGCTTTCCATCTAGGGGAGACTATCCGGTTGGTAGGGAGTCCACTCCTTCTCCAGGTATTATTTGCCACCCTGCTAATTTATGATTCTCACATCGCTTGACACTCACTCTCTGTTTTCCTCTCATAACCTCTTCCTTATTTTTCTCTTATCGTACACCTCTCTATTCTTTAATCTCTCTCTTTTTTTCATCCCTCCTTAGGTATGGCTTATGGATAAACTGAAAGTAGTGGACCCTTGCACTGAGTACTCCGCCCGAGCTTACTTTTTTTGCCAACGGCTAATCGATTTCCCTTCGGAAGGGTTGTGGTGTGACTGGATGTGCTGTAAATCTGCAGCTGGCATAACTTGGCATTGCCCATGGCTTAATTTGGCTGAGATGAGCTACAACATGTCTCGGCAGCTAGGCAAACAGTTGATTGGCCTTATTGCCTGGAGGACAAGGAAACTTCTAGCCCCTGCCCCTGGCTTCAGTTATGCCCTTTCTGATGAGTGTTTAGCTTGGCTTGAAGACAAGGAACAACTTAGGCCATCTTTAGCTGTGGAAACTTCTGCGAGTGTAAGCAGAAGACATAGAGCCACATTACTTAGCTGTGCCCTTAATTTTATTGCTTTGATCTTTCTTTTCAAGTTTTGTGATGTGAAAATAGCTTTGTTGAATCAAAGAGTTGGAGAATGTACTTATGTTGAAATCAATAAAATTAAAATTGTAAGTACTGAAAATTTTCCTTTCGGTCCCAAAAGTGGGCCAAGTTGTAAAAAGGTAAAATTTTGAGAAAAATCAGCTTTTATTAAAACTCTTCAAAACTATTTTCGGAAACGATCACCACCTGAAACGCACAGAATTGATTCTCAAAATGTACAATCTCAAATCAAAAGATCATAACTGCCCGTGATTGCATATCACTGTTGCTTTGTATTGTAACCAGCTTTTCTCCCTAAAATGAAGATCATAACCGAACTAATAAATGATGAACAAAGATGACCTGATCAGGAAAATGGACAGTTGAGTTGGAGATAGTTACAGCTAAACTTCACGGTGAAGTTGCCTATGTATCCCAAAAATGGGAATCAGGCCTGACGTAGTTCGGCTAAGGTTCACTCGAGTATTAACTCTCTCTTTTTGCGCTCTAACTTTTACCAAAGTTTCCCTTTAGGGTTTTCAACATTGCGAGCTTAGTTTTTCTTTGTTTCTAATTTTTCATGCTCTAACTTTTACCTAGGTCGCCCGTTCGAATTTTCGGCCTAGCGAGCCTCTCGGGGGTAATATTTCTTCAACTTGTCCATATTGATCGGTTGCGAGAACTCCAGGCCATCTAAGTCCATGAGAATAACCACCCTCATTGACCAGATTGATTTGATGATGTAAGGACCAGTCCAGTTAGGTCTGAACTTGCCCCCAGGGTCATAGATGGGAGCCCGATTGTCTTTCAGTACCATGTCCCCTTCTTTAAGATTTATGGACTTAACTTTCTTGTTAAAAGCCTTGGCAATTCAACGTTGGTAGCCCAGGACATGATACAATGCCCTTAGTCTTCTCTCATCAAACAAGATTAACTCCTCGAACCTACTCCGTTGCTAGTCCGCCTCTGCTATCTAACTCTCAGCTATAACTCGTAGCGATGGCACTTTAATTTCGATCGGCAAAACTGCCTCCATCTTGTAAACAAGAGAATATGGGGTTGCCTTTGTAGATGATCTGATCGAGGTTCTGTAGCCCCAGAGTGCAAATGGCAGTTTATCCGGCCAGTCCTTATAAGTTTCCACCATTTTCTGTAGAATTCTCTTGATATTTTTGTTGGCGGCCTCAACAGCTCCATTGGTTTGTGGCCTGTAGATTGATGACTTATGGAAAGCCATGTTATATTTCTCAAGCAACTTTATCACCTCTTTCTTGAAGTGCGACCCATTATCGGAGATAATCTCATTCGGAACTCCGTATCGACAGATGATATTGTTCTTGATGAACTTAGCCACATGCGAGACTATTAGCACAAAGTAGGACTGGGCTTCCACCCATTTGGTGAAGTAGTCGATCGCTACCAAGATGAATTCATGTCCGTTTGACCCCTTTGGCGTAACTATGCCGATAACATCTATCCCCAAAATAGAGAATGGCTATGGTGAAGTCAAGTTGTAGAGCTTCAACAGTGGAATGTTCATGCGATTGGCATGAATCTGGCATTTGTGGCAGCGCCAAACAAAACCAATACAATCCTCTTCCATGGTTGACCAGTAGTAGCCTTGTTTAAGGACTTTTCGAGCGAGCATCACACCGTTTATGTGGGCTCTACACTCTCCTCCGTGAATGGCCTCCATAAGGCGCTTTGATTCCTTTTCTTCAACACACAGTTTATGCATTCCCAAATGGCCTCTTTTGTACACCTTGCCCCCGTAGATGATAAATTGGATTGCCAGACGCCGTATTCCCCTTTTGCCCTTGGCATTTGCTCCTAGTGGATACACCTCTTTCTCCAGGAAATTCCAAATATCGTAATACTAGGGGTTTTTTTTATCTAAAGGCTCATCTAACGTGGCAAGGGTCTCATAGGTCGGCGTGTACTTCTGTTCAATAATGATCAGATGCATCCTGACTCCTAACAGAATGTCTACCATAAAAAATAGAGTTGCTAGTGTGTCAGCAAACCGGTTGTTCTCCCTTAGCTGATGGGTAAACGTTATCTTCTCAAACCGTGGAATTAGCATATCCAAGGTTTGATGATAAACCTTCATTTTCTCCTCTTTAACCCGCCAATCTTCGTTGGCTTAAGACACAACCAAGTTTGAATCCCTGATGATGTCCAACCTTTTTGCCCCTAATTTTAGGGCAGCTTCTAAACCAGCAATACACGCCACATACTCTTCTTCGTTGTTGGATACTTCGAACCAGAGTTTGAAGGCTAAGGGTATATGGGAGTCATCAAGTGCTATTAGCAACACATCGATCCCATAACCGTATTGATTGGCTGCTCCGTCAAAGTACATCATCAATG